TGTCGCTAACACTGCAATCATTATACGATACCCTTAAAGGATTAAAATTGTCATTCGGTGTAAACGAGACAATTGTCGAACAGTGTATGCAAGAGGACCCTGGTGCCAATTATACTGATCTTGCAATCTATTTAAAATTTTTAAATATAAGTGACTACAATGCTACCCTAAACAATTTTACATTAATTAATACAACTTGCATTGCCCATACCAAATCTTTGTGGGTTATATTTAAAGGTGTAAAAGTCGTTGTAGATGATTTATACACGCACACATATAGCCGCCACACAGACACAAACTTGGACCAACAAATGAGCAACAACGGTTTGTTGCGTAACACTCCGGGCAAATGTCTGATGTCATTATGTGTGGCTCTGCTAATGACCGTAATATCCGATCTCATATCATATAATATTGATGTCTCGCCGCATAGTTTTACTTGTGTTGGTTCGGCCATGGTCAGATTGTACTCGAAGCTTTGTAAGTCTGATCATGTTATATTATTTTATAGCTTAACCTAGTACGAAACATAAATATTGTGATGCTTGGATTAATTTAACATATCGTGAATCATCTTTATTTTATTTGTTGTTTGTTTTGAAATGTATTTATATATTGTTATGTAATATAACTTATATTCAAAGAACAGTACATCATTAGAAAGTATATGTGCACTTTCTAATAAAATAAAATTTATGGATGTTTGCATAATGCACTAAAAGGTAGACATAAATTAATCGACCTTTTAGTATATCTACTAGCCAATTGCAATAAAGTTGATTATGGTTCTGTTTATGTTGATGATTTATAATTATTTTATTCATTTTGTGGACAATTGATTTGATCGTAACATTAATTAGTCAGTAGTAATTGTGTAAATAATAATAGCGTACAAACATAATGCACTTCCCATAACCTTCAATGAGATAAAGTAAAATTTTTTGCAAAAAAATATTTCCTATTAAATTGCATGTGATTTGATGTATTTATTACAATCGTTAAATATATAAATTGAATTTAATATTTTTAAAATAATATTTAAATTTTGGCAATATTAAATTAATCTTAAATTTTTGTTAGTATTTGCAATGATAAATGTTTAGTAATTATATTAATATTAAGTAGATTTTAGAAGTTAAAAAATATAATAACAATATATAATTCCATAAGCTAGTAGTATTGAATAAACACACATGTATCAGAATTTTATACAAAATAGTTTTCATGCACATACAATATAAAAACAAATAGAGTTATTATTAATTGATTAAACTAAAATTGTTTAACGGTCAGTAATAAAAATATTAAATAATTACATTCTTATCAATATAAAAAATATTTTCAACTATGCCACAAAAAATTAAACATTTATTATGTTTACAGCCGCATTCTGTTGGATGAACGTGATGGCTGTCGACGTGTATAACACATTTGCAAACCATCAGTCCTCCTACCGGCGCTTAAAACGGCAAAACCGACAAAAATTTATTATATACTCGTGCTATGCCTGGTTAACCCCTATGGCCATTGTGGGCATCTCAGTTATTGTACAGTACACCATACCTATAAGTTCTCCATATAACCCGGCTTTTGGACTCACCATATGCTGTATGTCACACTTCATGGCCGTGGTCATATACTTTCTGTTGCCCTTGAGCGTTGTACTAACACTAAATGTTACTTTGTACATAATTACCGCGCACGAGTTAAAACAAGCTACAATACGGGCCAGAGTGGTAACCGGTAGTACACCGGCCACCGAGTGTAGGGCCCGATTAGGATTGAATGTACGCCTAATTCTGGTGCTGGGACCAACATGGATTTTTGGCTTTTTGGGCATGTTTGTTAATATTAAGACAGTTAGCTACATATCCATTGTATTACATGGACTACATGGGGCGTTTATTTTTATGACGTTTTGTATGCGGCGCAAAGTGTTGCTTCAGCTCCGGCACAGACTGTTTTCAACCCCTTCTACTGGTGCAAAGGCTATGGCCGGGAAACGCGGGTCAAGCGATGATAGTGGTGAATCGGGCAGTTCGCCCAAACATCGACCCTCTCAGTCTAGCAGTTTGGACACTACCGTCACTAATGTGTCAAACATTACCACGATTAGTGGTAGTAGTATCATGTCAAATTCAAATGCTTAAAATAATAATGTTTGAATGGTGTTATTTATGCTGCATTTAATGTGTTATACTTAATATACACTGGTGTTACATTATGTATTAAATTAAATACATTGAATACATTAAATAAATACATAGATTTAAATACTTAATTATATTAATAAGTCTAATAAATATAGTTGGTAGGTTTTTTTTAAACTATAAGTTTTTATTCATTTCGTTTTATTGAAATTATATTATAATTTCTAAATATTAATTTATACAATAACTTAAAATTATTTCATAAATATTAATAACATGTTTTGTAAAATATTTGCTTTTATTAATAAACTTATTAAAACAGGAATGTATTGGTTTGTAATATTGGTAATGGAAAGTATTTTTATTAAACCATATTTGTAAATTAATTAAATTATTGAGTATTACTCATTGTAAAAATATATGAAAAACATCGAAATAAAAAACATTCATTTTGTAAAATTAAATTGTTTAAATAAGATAAAATGATTTCTAAAACAATGTTAACCATTATAATAAATCTATGTTTGGTTATCCTATTCATTGACTTCCCAGTTGCTAACTCGTCACTCGATACAGATAAGAGCCATTATATATCCCACGATGCCGAGAAAATAATCCTGATGACTTACTTCACCAACGAGTTGTACACTATTAGTTTGAATTATGGTAACCAAAGTGTAAGTCATAAACTAATTATAAACACTATACTATATAAATTTAATTGGTATTTATAAAATAAAATTCAGATAATTAAAAATAAAACACTTATAATGCGATTAAAACAAATATAATTTCTAGATTGGTGTAACCGGTCACGCGCTAACCCACGAGGTAAAAGAGTGCACTACACGACACAAACACTTTGCTCAGCACTGCATACAAGACGTACGGCAACGGTGGCCGCGGGCCGATCACAACATGCAACGGGTGCCTGAATTTTATTTCACCGAGCACGACGACCAAAACTTTACCTACTATTACGACTTTATGGGCACCGCCAGCGGCACCTTCCCGGCCATCGACACCACCTCTACCACTCGCCAAGCAAACCATACCGGTGCGGATCAGGTAAAACCCACAACACTTACCGGAATGTTATACGAGCCCCAGAAATGTTGCATAATATACGAGTTGTTAGACTGCATGCACACGGAGTACAAGCGCCAGTGCCCGGGCCTGTCGTTCGCGCCGGTAGACGAGGTGCTGCATCTGTCGGCGATGCAGGTGCACGACCGGTGCGACGGTTACCATATCGACAATCCGCTGTATCGGGCCATAGATGGCAGCGGTGAACGACATCACGTCAACCCGCGTAACAACGATAAGAACTGTCACATTAGGTTTGGCGGTACAAGTGTTGATGATGGTAAAAAGTCCGCAGCGTTTGGTTTGCGCACTACAACCCTATTGGCGGTAGTGGTGTGTGCCTGGTATATGTTGTGTTTGTTAATTGATCGACCTCCCTATATTTATAAGTTATCATTTTAAAAGTTGTAACTGTTTGTTAAGTTGTAGTTTTGTATTACATCTTAATATATATTTTTATTATTTGTGAGAATATTTTATTTTTAAATAATTATTAAAATATAATTAAAATAAAATTTTATTTTTAACGTTTATTAATTAGAATTACTACTAATTAGAATTTAAACATCACTAATTATTTTTAAAATAATTTCCAGTAATTTAGTTTATCAATAATACTTATAAAATTGAGCTGGGTGTTACAAACTCGAAAAAGGAATACACATTTTGCCATTTAATTTTTTGAATAATTTTCAGTCATAATAATAGAAAATAATGAATAAATACTGTATATAATAAATTTTATTAAAATGTTAAATAATTTTTAATAATTTACTTTCATAATAACTCTTCAATTTATTAAATGTTTCTACAGTATACTTTTATAAATTATACTTTTAATTAATTACATTGTACTGTAGTGAACATACTGTAGAGGTTTCATAATTTACACGATGTGTTACAAAGGATTACATGCTATAAAATAAAAACAACCATAATTAGTAAATATACAAATCAAACATAATAAAAATAGGTCACTAAAAATAAGAACAGCTTATTGTAATAATACATACATGTAATAACAATATTAATATGATTTATAAATAAGTAAATACATCATGTTAAAGTGTAAAATCATCTCGGACAATTAGACTTACGTGTTTTAAACCTTCTGAGACCGCAGCTCACGTCCTGACAGTACGTACACACGTGTGTCTCGGCGTCAAAGGCCTGATTGGCCGGACATGTGGACAGATGGTGTACCCCTTCCCAGCAGTTATAGTACAGTTCACAATAGATGGGGTGCGCAAATTGACCGGTCGGTTGTGGACACTTGTCGTTGGCTATTACACAACATACCACTGACGCTATAACTAATAGTATCAGACCATTCATATTCAATAGTTAATATCAATGTAGTTAACGAGTTTGTCATTTACTGATCCTAATTAAACTTTTAATGTGTAATCGTGTATAAGACTTATGTATTTATACCTAGCTAATCTATTGATCTGTTAATCTAAAAATATGTATTACCTAGGCCTAATTAATAATTATATGGTAAAATTCACATATAATACATTTTATTAATCAAATATTTAGTCAATAGCATTGCCTTGTTATTATGTGATTAGATATTATCTGATTATATTATGTGATTAAATAATATACTGTACAATTAATATAATGAGGTGATTTATGAAAAATAATGAGTTTATTGCATAATATTATTTAACAATAAGAGTATATTGTTACTAGAATTTAAATAAAATTAATTACATAATAAAACTGCAACAGCATGTAAATTTACTACAACATTAATTTCTGGGGCATATTTTTACTTTTATTTTTAGATTAATTTCAGTTACATAACTGTTATATAATATAACTTCATTATGTAATAGTTATTGACTAAATAATTTATTTGAATAAAACCATGGTCATTCAACTTAGACCATGGGTAATTCAAAAACTACCATCGTAACTTTATAACGTTTTTATTAATAGATATTTCAAAAAAATAAAATTTATTTTTATTAAAATACAAAATAGCAATTTCAATTATACATCGGCCATCATTATCGCTATTAATTATATTTTTAATAGTTTTACAAATAGTTGCTCTGTAAGTCAAAAAAGTGAGTGGTTTAGAATTTTAATATTAGTTTATATGTGATTTAATTTATGTGAACTACTGTTAA